AGCTTGAAAATTAATCTCTTTCTTCTTGATGAATTCATATATTTCAGCTATAAGGACAATCAAGTAAGGGGTAAGCAATGTACCTTGCCAGTTTCTTGGTTGACATATCCTCTAAGGAGCTCGGGGACAACATCAATTTTCAGAAAAGGGGGCAATGGCAATCCCAAGAACTTAGCAGTTGCAGATGTTAATGGAGGAATGTACAGTTTTTCCAAGTCAAAATCAACGGCAATTTCGTCGCTTGACTCAATTCTTTTGCCAGTTCCAGTACCTGAACCTCCTTTGGCATTATACACAAAATCTGGGTATCTAGAAATACCAAGTTTGCAAGCTTCAAAAGTCTTGAAGTCCACATTGTATGTACCAGTTCTTGGAATTGTTGTTTCAGTAACAGCACCAGCAGATTGTGGCTGTTGCTGTGAACTTATGATGCTAATTCTGGGTTTTAACTGAAGTGAGGAAAATGAAGATATATGTCTTGATTTGGTTTTGGGAAGTTGGGTGGAGAATTGAGGACTTGGTGAGTAAATTTGAGACCCCATTTTGTTAGTGTCTTGCTTTTAGAAGAAAGAGAATGGAGAGTATTTTTTTTCTTTTTCAGGAAGTTCAAGTGGCAGATTTGTGCCTTTTATGTGAACCTCAAGTTGGAGTAGACATGTCCAATTTGTGTCCACGAGTTAGGATCTTATCATCATATGTTGGGCAAAAGTCCCAGCTCCTTGTTATGATTGCATTATATATATTCAAGGCTTTAATAATAGCCCTAGATTAAATCTTCTTCAAAATCGGAACCATGCATTTTAGGAATAAATATATTTTAAAATTGGATATTTATTTCTTTATCAGCTTGTGATATCAATATTAGAAAGGTAAGTCTGTAATGTGTTCATCGTTTTACTTGAGAAGTTACCATCCTTCATGTTTTTAACTTTATTACAGTTTAGCAATATTTAGGTTAAGCAAGAAAAACATAGTTTTAGTAGCTCTATCGTACTAAAGAATAATATTTAATCTAGTTTATTTTCTAAATAACGCATCATGGCAATATAATGTAAGGATGTATTACTAAAATTTTATTACCATACACTCGTTGCATTTTTACCGTTGGATTTTCCATCTCAACATCCTCATTTAGCAATATGCATTTTTAGCAATATTTTATTACTTGAGAACCTACCGTTGCATTTTCCACCTCAACATCCTCATTTCAACTACTTTCGTCTTCTGGATATGTAAGTTCTTAACAGACCAACACTCAGCCCTATTCATCATGGTCAGTCTAACCACCGCTTTGTAGAACTTTCCTTTGAGTATCAGCGGGACTCTCTTATCACACAAGACTCCATATGTTAACCTCCACTTTATCCATCCAACCCAATACAGTGTGTGACATCCTCGTCGATCTCCCCTCACCCTGAATAATCGACCCAAGGTACTTGAAGCTGCCTCTACTTGGGATAACTTGTGATTCAAGCCTCACATCCACGCCAACTTCCAACGGCTTAGCGCTGAACTTACACTCCAAGTATTCCGTCTTCGTCTTGCTCAGCTTGAAACCCTTAGATTCAAGAGTTTGTCTCCAAACCTCCAGCCTATCGTTGACACCGGCTCGCGACTCATCAATAAGAACTATATCATCTGCAAATAACATGCACCATGGCACCTCCCCTTGAATATGGTGTGTTAGCGCGTCCGTCACCAGGGCAAATAAGAACGGACTGAGCGCAGAACCTTGGTGTAACCCCATTACAACCGAAAAATGCTCAGAGTCGCCTCCTACTGTCCTAACCTGAGTCTTAGCCCCATCATACATGTCCTTAATTGCCATAATGTAGTGAACTGACACACCTTTTGCCTCCAAGCATCTCTAGAGAACTTCTCCAGGAACCTTGTCATACACTTTCTCGAGGTCAATAAACACCATGTGTAAATCCTTCTTCCTCTCTCTGTACAATTCCACCAACCTCCTAACAAAGAGTATAGCTTCTATAGTTGAACGACCTGGCATGAATCCAAACTGGTTATCGGATATAGACACTGTCATCCGCACCCTCGCTTTAACCACCCTCTCCCACATTTTCATGGTATGAACCAGTAATTTGATACCCTAATTGTTACAACTTTGGATATCACCTTTGTTCTTATACACTGGAACCACTGTACTCCACCTCCACTCATCTGGCATCCTCATCGCCTTAAAAATAGCATTAAATAACCCAGCCAACCACTCCAATCCTGCTCTCCCCACACACTTCCAAAATCCCACTAGAATCTCGTCTGGCCCGGTCGCTCTGCCCCTACTCATCTTACGCATAACTCCCACGATCTCCTCAACCTTGATGCGTCTGCAGCACTCAGAGTCACGGTGATTCTCGGAATGCTCCAATTCGTCTAGCACAATATCCCGCTCCCCTTCCTCATTCAGAAGTTTATGAAAGTAAGTTTGCCATCTCATCTTAATCTGGTATGCAAACACCGGATGCGGTAAATTTTGCCTTGAATAAGTATAAAAAGCGATTCACTTACTTTAAGATAGTTTGTTAGTTTAGAGACAACTATGCTAATATTAGTAAAATCGATACCTAAGGTATACTATTTGAATTGTCGTAATAAGAGAAGTTTAACAAATTGTTTATAAGATTTTGACACAACAAAATTTTGATTCACTCATAAATATAAGACTTCTAAAGTGGATATTACAGTAAACTAACAATATGACGACATTGAAACTTAATTAACATCTACAGAAACTTGTAAATGAATATTATAGTTCTATAAATAAACTTATTATTTAAAGTTAGGATTTTAGTTTCTCTTTCAAATTATAAAGATGGTCATCATAAGAAAACAAATTATTCAAAATAAAGATAGTAAGAAATGTTTGTTGGAAATAATTTTCTTTTATCGTGTGGATTGTACTCCAAAAAAAAAAGTTTGTTATGACTGAAGCTCACATGCTATAATAAACTCAATTTACTTATCAGATTAATTTTATCATTTGACGTGACTGATTAAACCATCCTAGATCGACAATGATGCGAAATTTTGTTTTTAATTAATTAACTGATCAGAAGGACCCAATTAAAATGAATAATACTTGTTTCTGAGGAACACTAGTAGAGATCCTTCATGTTCTGGAAGCTCATTTGCCCAAACACAATTCACCAATTTAAGGAGTGTTGGTCTGGTCCTAGCTTGCACCCAGTTACTTATGTCAGTCCGTCTTCAATAATGATTTATTACAGTAGTTAAAAAATTCAATAGGAAAATCAGGAAGCACTACAATAATCGCTAGTCTCTTCATTTTTTTTTTCTTTTTCTTTGTTGTCATTTTATTATGATTCTAAAGGTTTAATACCTGCAGGTACAAGCGTTAAGACAAAAATCTCTCAAGTTCAAATGAATCAAATCACATCAAAATGAGGGTTTGCGTCCAAAACATAAATGATGTTATCTATGGGATGTCCTAGTGAACAAATATTGCACATCAACATTTAAATCTCAGCATATATAAAAAAACACTAGTGATTACTATTCGTCTACCTAAGCCTTGGTGGTAAGATTATCTAATATCGATTTTAACGAAAGATACATAGTCGATATATCATTGAATAGTTGAGATGCGCTTAAATTCAGCTTGTTTGGATGGTTGTTAGTTGTTACCTATTGTGTTGTATTGTATTGTTACTTAAAATATAATATTTATTTTGATTGTTTCTTAAATTTCATTGTGTCGTATTATTAAATCCATTTTTATGTAATGACCGATTTTGTGTGATCGCGTCGTCATCTTGCTTTTCTCTCTCATCTTGCCCATTTTATTTTATTCTTTATCCTGCCTTTTTATTTAATAATTCTACTTTGAACCCTACTTTTTTTTTTGTAATATTGTTCATATTATTGGTATGTGACATCATGAAATGACAACAAACAATACAATCTATCCAAACGTTATATTTATTAAAATGATACAGTACAATATAATTAATACAATATGACACTGTTATGAAATGATACGACCATCCAAACAAATTGTTGCCCTATAAAACAATAAGGGTGCAATACATGGAATTATAAGAGATTAAGAGCTTAACTCGGACTTCATTTAAAACAAAGCCTACAAGAAAGCGTTCCTACCAAAAGGATATCATAGAGTGGTGGAAAGCACAAACATGACAGATTATGATAGTGAAAAATTGTCGCTTATGAACAAAAAAATGCTTAGTTGAATGGTCCCGCCACCATCTATATCCACATTTTTCCATTATGTCAATGTGCAGGCCTAATTGCTGGAATTGATTGTATTTGTACCAAATTTTGATTCTCCATATGGCCATGTGGGGTGGGAACAAGACCACTCCCCAGGTCACATTCTAAAAAAGAGATCCACATAAACTATAGTTTAATTAATAATTTGGAGCATGTCAACGCGGAAATACCCCATCATTTTGTCTACCACCTGTACCTACTCACATGGTCACAGATTGGATAACTTATACTACTATATTACTTTGAGAAGCAAAAAGCCTACACCAAAAACAACTCTAAAGTCAGCTCTTTGGCAATCACAAGAAAGGATTATCTGTATTATTGAAGTAAATGAGAGTACAACTCAAGCCACACTTGAAACTCTAAAAATATATTATATATATGTTCCATGCACTGAGAAAGTAAAAACAAGTTGCACTATATAGTGAAGTTGATCTCCAACATGTAACTCTCCAAATCAAGCCTAATATTGTAACTTGGAAAATCGAGTAATAATATACGATAGAGCGAGAGAAAAATTCTTTACACTGTCTGTTTATGTAACTTAAACTCTTAAAAACAATGTTCCACATTCATCATGTGCAGCCATGTTTGAAACTCAAAACTCTAATTAAAGACCTTGCAGCAATAGCAGGCTATTGTTTTTTATATAAGCTTCAGCATTTGAGAAAAAAAGTTAATGCATCTAGTCAGAATTTTATGTCAAACACTCGCATTCGGACTACAGCAGATGGCCATGCAAAATCAGAATATCAACTATTGTAAACTTTCTACACATGGAAAACATCATTGATAGTACCACATTACCAAAATCAAACTTGTGAGTTGCGAATAAGCTTGAGGGTTTAGTCCACAAGTTCATGAATCTAACATGTTACATGACCTCATTAAGTGAACATACTAGTTAATGACTCTTTTTCTCAGCACAAGTTACAGGTCAGTCGCCCATAATGTCATCTACGCTTTCAACAGACAAGAGAAGACCTGAGTGATGTGGTGGTGGGAAGACACGTGCATGACGCCCATCGGATAACTGATTCAGTTACCATAATATCAAGCTGCTCAAATTCACCAAGACCAATTGTATGGTTTCTCCTGCTCTGAATGCCTAGAGTTCTAGATCCATTTGATCCACTCTTTCTAACCTCTACTGTTTTCTCTCTTACCACTGCTACAGGAGAGTCTGGCAACATAAACACCGTCCCCATACTGGCATCTGCAACACAAGTAAAATAGGTTTTAAATCCTAGGAGTCCAGAGTATAGCGGTTTACTTTTTACGATGAAACTAGAACAGAAAACTGTAAAATTACCTTTATGAAGTAAATCTACATCAGATGCTCTTACAGATAAATCCACTTCATAACTCCCTTGATCAACAACTAAACTCGAGCAGAAGAATGTAAAACTCGGCAATGTTGGAACTGGAGTAGCAAACTCATGGCCATTTGATCCACCAGTACTACTGAAAGAGAATACAGCGGATTCATAGGAAGTTATTGATTGTTCTGTTAGTAAAGTAGAAAACGATGGGCGGCACGTGAATTTTGGCGATTGGGCATCACATAAAACGGCAGAACCTGTGCCAAAACTGATATCCTGATTCCTAGCCATAAGCGAAGAGCAGTAGGAGCCTTCATCTGAGTGCACTTTAAGGCATGGTTCATTGAAATGCGATGAGCTATCCCGTAACCAAGCATGATCTGTTAAGTGTCAAATCATAAAGTTTCAGGTAAGACAAAGAAGTAAGCTCACGGACTGATACATCCTCCCTCAACTGCTTCACTACTTAGATAAAAGGAAAAACCTTTAAGAACTGAAAAATCAATGTCAAACAGAGAAAATCAGTTAGAAATTGGGCCTTTCAACGTTAGATTCCAGCTTATGTAAGAAAAATTCAAACCATTCCCGAGGAATTTCGAAGATTGATCATTTTGAGAAGCGGGCTGCTCACACGCACAAGGTGTGGTTTAAGATTTGATATATCATGTCATAGAGCCTAGGTGGTCACAGATACAGTACAGCTGCGCTATATCTCTTTTTACCCCCAATTTCATGTCCACAGGAATAAGAATGATTGTTAAGAAGAATACAAGATAATAAGTCCTTCGAAAATTTACCGAGCTGATGCAGTAACATTTCGAATGGATTCTACATATTCTGGTTTTCACAGTTTACTATCCACTTATACTCTTAGTAGGTTCATTCTCTTACTAATTCACAAGCTGCTAAGCTTGATATTTCTATCCTTTCAAATTAATCACTGATATCCAACACAAATAAATCTGCATTCTCTTGATGCATCAAACATCAGTTCTATTTTCTTTATCAAGACCATTCATCAGTTCTATCCAGGTAACAAGTATAGTGAATTTGATATTGTATTTTGCATTCATAACCTACCGAGAATTTGCTGAGTTGTAAGCCTCTGAGAAGGATCTTTACATAGCATTCCTTTAATCAACTCTTTTGCCGAAGACGATATTGTATCCCAGCGATCAGAAGGAAACCACAAATCAGCTGCCCTAACAGCATCAAATATCTTCGACTTTGTCTTCCCCCAAAATGGTGGTATTCCACTAAGAAGAATGTACAGAATAACACCAGCACTCCAAATATCAGCTGCTTGATTATAACCTCCTGCTAAGACCTCCGGAGCTATATAAAACGGGCTGCCAACAGTACCATGCAAACTTTCACCTGCAATAAGAAAGTTGAAAATGCAAAAAAAAAAAAAAATCAAGATAAGGTATATAATAATGTTGCGTATTAGGTTTTCAGGGAAACGAGAAAGCACCTGGCTTGATGTAGGTTGCAAGACCAAAATCAGCTAATTTTATTGGAGAAGAAGAACCCTTTGTAGCCAAGAGAATGTTCTCTGGCTTCAGATCTCTGTGAACGATGCCTTTCTGATGACAGTACATCACCACTTCCATTAGGTCATGGAAGAGAACCCCGGCCTCAGCCTCAGAAAATCTCCCATGCCTCTCCAGCTGATGGAAAAGTTCTCCCCCGGCACAAAGCTCCATTACTAGATGTACATAAGTTTCTTCCTCATAAACCGCCTTGAGATCAACGACGTTTGGGTGGCCAGAGAGCCTGGTCATTATTTCAATTTCAAGCTTGACACTTCGTACATCCTCCTGAGTCACCAATCTATTTTTAGCAATGGATTTGCAGGCCAATACCTCTCCGGTGAACTTGTCAGAGCATGTCCTTATTATTCCAAACTGGCCCCAGCCAAGCTGTTCTCCAAGAATGTAACGATCATGCAGATTAGCAGTATGATTTGCATCCAAAATGGTTTCACTCAAGTTTGCAACTTTATAGCAACTACATGAACAGCGCGATGATTCAGCGTTACTGTCGCTCTTGGCAACAGCCATACGAGAATTGAACCAGAGGATACCAATCAAGATCTCTCAACTTTTGTTTCTCCAATCTTGAAATTACTGACTACCTTTTCGAAGTTCTACCCTTTCCAACAAGTGGGAAAGCTAATTGCTCAAGTCAAAGTAATTGATTTTAGTTCACATAAGAATGGACCAAATCAATTTGGTCAACATAATCAAAGAAGCTTCCTACAGGCGTTCAACTAATCTGGTCATTCTGCCCAATTATAACATCATCATATTATAAGATCAAACTCTAAACTGCAAATTCTTCCATTCTTGCAAATCAGCTGGATCTGAAAGGTCAAAAAGTGTTCACAAATTCAATTTCCTGGAAAATGGTAATTCATACTCTTTATAAGATAATAACTTTCAGAAATAACAGTCTCAAACAAAATTCAGCTAAGCATATTTTTGGACAGATCCTACAACTATCAATAAGTTTAAAAAATGAAAACAACAAACCAAAAGAAAAAGATAAAAGTACACATTTTCAAAACTAAAGTGGACTAGCCAATAAAAATCAAAGTACAGTTCACCAACACAAACAATTCAGCAACCTGATCAATTCCCACAAACAAATTAGAAAACACTCAAAAGCAGAAAAAATGGCTCCCAGAAACAAATTCAAACTGACATCAAAAAAAGAAAAAAGACCCAGATCCAAAATTTTCTTGAAAAGCAAAAAACATTAAAAATTTATTTAAATAACAAGTACAAAGAAGGGGTAAGCCAAAATCACCTGTGGAGTTGGGCTATTTGGTCGCCTTCAAAGTTAAAGCTTAAACCCAACCCAACCACCCTACACAAACTGGAAATGGGGAGTTTTTGTGTTGTACGCGGAGTCCTTTCTGTTGTGCTGTGTTTTATTACTATTGTTCTTCTTTTTTTTTTCTCTCTTTTTTGGTTATGGAGTGCTTTGTTGTTTCGTTGGGATCGTTTCCTTTTTGAATTTAAAGGGTTGGGATTTAATTATCATTGTTTTTGATACTATTCGTAAGACCTACCTTTCTGAGTTGTACATAATAATAATAATAATAATAATGGAGATACCTCTTTCTACTACTTTATTTAAAACTGACATCAGCACCGCTGACAACTCCTAATTTTAGGTAGCCCTTATTTATATTTTATACTCCATCCGTTTTAATTTATATAAACATATTTGACTTATCACGGAATTTAAGAAAGAATGTTAATTTTTAGAATTTATGGTCCTAAACAAGTTAAAAGGACCCCAGAGTATTTGTGTGATTATAAAAATTCTCATTAGGTGTAGAATTTTAAGTTTAAACTAAATTGCTTCCAAATTTAGAAAGAGGTCATTCTTTTTGGAATGAATAAAAAAAATAGGTTCACATAAACTGGAACAGAGGGAGTACTAATCTTTTTGCTGAGAAGAAAAAAACAAAAGAGATTAAAAGGAGGTAGAAGAAGTGTTTTTGATTTTGATACTAATCACTAAGGGCCTGTTTGGTACGGGGATAAAAGATAATTAATTCCGGGATTAAATTTGAGATGAGTTTATCTCACGTTTGGTTGGAATAAAATCGTGACATAATTAATCTCAGGATAACTAATCCTGGAATAATTAATCATGGGGTAACTTGTTTCCCAACCAAACGACCCCTAAGGATAGTTTGGTTTGAAAACAAATTATGCTGGAATTAGTTATGTGAGAATTTATTATAATTACTTATGCTGATCTTCGTATTATTTCTTATTGAGTGTTTGGTATGTTTTATTAATCTCGATATTATCAATTTTACTGTTTTATCCTATAATTAGTATTCCACCATATGACAGGTATAAGTTATCTCGGTACTATTTTTAATCTTAAGATAATTTATCCTAGAATTAGTAATCAACCACGGGATAAAAAGGTACTAAGTTCTTATCCCAAAATTATTTTTGCTTATCCATCATACCAAACGACCCCTAAGAGATAGCGCTATTGTTTACCCTGAATCCGAGTAACAATTAGATTTATATTGTGGATTTAAGAATATATGATTTAATCCAATACCAATTGATAAACGAGGAATTAGATAGATAAATTAGAGAATAAAATAAGTCAAACCAGTGTACAAGCTAAATCTCAACCTCGACCTTTGACAGTCTCGAGGTGGGTTAGTAAGAACAACAAATTATAAGGCAACTCTGATGAACAGTGAGCAAGAAAGTGATGAATGTATATTCTCTTGTCAAAGAACCATCGATTATAAATGAATGGGCTCCCATTTATATAATAGGGGAGTCCTAAATAAGGTACACTTCTAATTACAATAGGAAATCATTTGGACAGTTGCCTAACCGCCAAGGACCAATCCGTTCCGAAATTTATGTCGTGATCTTCGGGCCGTTGCGGGTATCTCGCTCTTTCTGTTACTAAATCATAACGGTATTATCTCGAAGTGGGCCTTCTTCCGACCTCAGCAAATGATATCGACCTCGGCCTCGACCTCGATATTGGAAAGGAGCCTCGACCCCGAGCTTGGTGTCCTGGCCTCTCGACGTAGTATTACCTTTTCCATCGAAAAACGAAGTCGGATAGCTCCGATTTCCATAGTATACAGATAGCCCCCTCATTTCTTAGAATAAAATGATAAGAAACGACTTGAACCTCGATTTTCCGGAGGCCCTGATGATGATGTCATCCTTGTGTCATAAGCGCTCGAGGTGACCAAAATGTCCCATCGGTTCATTTCCCCAAAACATTAAATACTTGTTAGTGGCGGTCGGCCACTAGCGCCGCCGAACCATCACTGTGTGTCTATAAATACAAGGCTTCTATTTGAATAAAAAACAAGGCTTCCACCTTCAAACTTTCTTGATCTCTTCCTCTCTTTATCTTTCTCTTTCACTACCTGTTGATCCAACCTTTTTAGCATAAAAAAAATATCAAACTCCACCTCTTTCCGCTTCCTCCCATCTGAATCAATAGCGAAAACCTCCAAACCCATTCCTCAAAAGGAGAAAGCTTCCTCCTCTTCTACTCGTCCGGCTAGTGATAAAGCGTCGGCCCTTTATAAGATTTTTCCCGGCCCTTGTGTCACAAAGTACGACTTCAAAGTAGAGAATCCCAGAGAAGTGGAACCCCGAACGCAAGTGAATTGTTTGCCCATTAGCCTCCGTACTCCATTTTTGCATTGTGTGATGCCTTCATCTATTTTGCAGCGGTTGCTTGGATGCCCCATGCGGTCACCGACCTCGAAGACTGGGTCTAGAGACTAGCCTCGATCTCCTCTTATAGCGAGCGCCGCTAGCGTGACTTGGCGAGGGGCAGATGGGAAGCCAAACATCATGGTAAGTTCATCTTGTAAGCTTTTGATGCTTTCCTCTTTATCGGAGATGTCTCTTTACTCATATTTGATTCTCCTTCATGCAAGCATTAGAGATATCTTTGAAATGAGGTCGGCTCCGCCTGGGGAAAAAACTGAGTCCCCGATTCCGAAATCGGGGAAAGATAATAAGAGTAAAAGGATCTCGAAGCCTGAAGACCCCCAAGATAAAAAGGCTCCAGCTCGAAGACACAGGAGAAATCTCATTTATGTGGATATAGAATCGGTCCACCAGCTGAATGAAGAAGAAGAAGAAGATGAGGGTGAAGACTCAGCGCTGGTGGTTCGAGCCATAAAGTCGGTTGAAGCTGCAAGTCCTCCGCGCTAGAGACCCTACCTCGTGATGAGGAGGCTTTGAAGAAAGATACGGGAAAAACCCCTAAATCGCCCGAGGTCGAGATTGTTCCTCGGCCTGATATAAGCACACCGGAGGGGGCAGGTTCCGAGATCCCTAGAGCTAAATAGAGCACCCGAGTAATTTGCTCTGGGCCATGACAATAGGTCACTCTTCCTCTCTACCGGCTTATACTGAGGAGGCCATACGGGAGGCTCGGGATCTATAGATGCCTAACTTAGGTGAAGTCCTAGTGAAGAGGATCCCTTCCAGGATTGCTTTACCGGGGTTGATGACGCCGCCGATCTCAAAAATACATCTACCCTTTTCGAAGAGGCTCAACGCCTTTTATCTCGAGTAAGCATTAATTTCTATCATTGCAAATTTCTTTTCTTTCTTCTCCCTTTACCCTAACTCTTATCTTTTTTTTTGTGTAGGCTTTCACCAAGTTTAGGGCCGACCTGAGCCAATGTGAGGCCAAGCTCCAGAAGACCTCGGATGAAAGGAACAGTTTGAAGCTTCTTTGCAGTCAAAAGGAGGAGGAGCTCAGGGATCTTCAGGCAGACTTGGCCAAGGCTCGTAAGGATGAGGTCGAGCTAGACAAGCAAGTAACTGTCATTTTGAAAGAGTACGATCTACTCGACCCAACTATGAAGGCTAATACTTCAATGTCTTAGCTGCAGCAAAAACTGGAGAGGATCGAGCTGCTTTGAGGGGAGGTCGATCAGATCAAAGCCGGCTGTGATCAGTGGAAGGAGAATATGGACCGCCTTGCTGCGGAGAAAGAGGCTGCTTTGGCCAAACTGGAATCGGCCGAGGCCTAACTTCGGGGCCCAGTCCAAAAGGATCGACGAGCTAGAGGTCAAGCATGCTGAGGCCAAGGTAGAGGCCGGGGAGACGAAGATCGCGGCTGACGAAACCACTATTGTATACTTGGCCAATGCTAAGGCTGCCCCAACGTAGCTAAGAGAAGCCTCCGACTGAGAGCGACAAAGCAATGATTTGCCCAAGTTCAAATCTCGAAGGGAGACCCTCGAGGAAATCCACGCTCGAGGTTACGACCTCTCTAAAGAGATAGCTCAAGCAAAGGCGCTTGAAGCTGATGTCAGGTTTCTCGTCTCCTCTGACGATGATGATGATGATGATGAAGGCAGCCAAGGCGGGTCTGACAATGATGAGGGGCCCGAAGGAAAAGTGACTCCCGAGGGAGAAACCAGCCCCGTGCATAGTTAGGATTTTTTCTTTTTCTTTTTGTAAGACCTCTGTCGGTCTCTTGTACATATCTTTTTTCAAATATATAAAAGAAAATTTCTCTTGAATGTCTTCTTGATCTTTATAAATATGTTATTTGCCTTGCAAAATTTTAGCATAATCTTATGCTTTGAACGGTGTATTCGAGACTTTGTCTCGGGTGGCTTCCTTGAAGTTACCATGGTCGAGTTCGAATTTTGAGGCATAGACTTTTAAGGGTTTCTGTCGGATAACGTTGAGTCCACGAGCCATAATCAAGTTATTATTTATTTGACTCAGGATAATCGAACCCTTGGGTTCGGATTGAGTGAGAACAAGATCTCAAACCCTAAGTGTATTGGCCCTTAGGCTCTTTTAGATCGGGTTGTTATGGCCTTTAAAAGATTTCTATTATTCCCCTCTTTTGGCTTAAAATACTTAGTGAAAATTTCTTTATGCCTTAGCATGTATTTTTTACCCATTGGGTTTTTTGAGGGTTCAATGTTGATTGAAACCCTTCTGCTTTTTGTGCCTTAGCACGTTTTTGTTAAGATAATTTTGATACCTCTTAAGGTTTTTTGAGGAATGATTTTATCGAAGCCCTTTTATTATTTGCCGAGGGTAGACTTTTTTAACAATTTTTCAAAGAACTTGAAAGCCTATTTTGATTGCGGGGTTCGGATGTCTCTGAGCCGCATTAATTCGGCTGTAGCCTTTGGGTATGCCTCTTGTGCTTATTCCCCAATAACACTTCGAACTTGTTTGAGGTGTTAGTCCCGGAGAAAGATGGTTTTGGCCTATATATAGAGGGGCGCCTCTTTGAGATTTTATGAATCCGAGTTTAGATAACTCGAATATGTTGATTGTCGATGACAGTCCCCAAGTGTTCGAGGTATATTTGTGCTTGGCCCTTGAGCCATTTCTCACAAAATCATAAGTATGGAGCTTGTATAATAGCAAATTTTCTTTGAGACACAAAGTGTTTGTTATAGAAAGAATGCTTCTTTGAATAATTTATACATACGTACATGTT